CTTTGCCCCGCCCTGCTCTAGGCCCCATGCCCGCGCCGTCCTCACCCCAGGATCCCTGTCTCTGCCCTCTACCCTGTTCCTGGGGGGCCGTCCTCCTGGAGTCTGCTGTGACGAGCGCTCAGGTCCTCACGTGTCAGCACCTTCGTTTTTTAGTGACACGCGGGACTGTGTGTGGGAAACATGGGGACCCTCCCACAGCACCCTCCCTGGCAGAGGGCACAGGGTCCTGTGTCAAACGGGCATTGGCATCAGGTGACTGGAACAGGGTTCGCATCAGGCTGGGTCTCTAACAGTTTATGTCAGGGCTGGGTTTCTCATGTGGTCAAAGCCCTTGAGTTTCCACAAGTGTCAGTATCAGGAGAGAAACCTTTTAATTTTACAAAACTGTAGGATTTCACATTTTCAAGAAAGCACTTATTTCCTGCTGTCCCGTTCAAATACATCAGGTGTCACCCTGGTTGTGCTGAGGGTGCAGTGAAGTAGTGCGTTCATGCACAAAATGCTGGAGGCCTTGTCCTTGGAGGTGACGGTGCAGCCCTGTGTGAGTCATGTGCACAGACAGACTGACAGACCCCTGACTCAGTCCTCAGAGTTTGGTCTGAGAGACAGTGGAGAGGGGACCAGGGTCTGGTGCCTGAGACACGCCCCCCACTGTCCCCAGCTGAGGGGACCACAGCAGCTCCTCTCTGCCCTCCCACCCCCGGGTGTCCACTCCTCACACTCACACCTCGGGGTCCCCATGGGGCCGCTGGCCCCTCTTGCAGGCCTGTGCTCACACCTGTGCTGTGGGTCTCCTGACCCCCTGGGAGGTCAGCTGTGAGTGCCACCCTGGGAGATGTCACCTTCAAGCTCTGACCTGTGCTTGTGAGGGAGGGAAATATACTCCTTTTTTAAAAATAGCAAGTCATCCTGCTTCAAGAAAATATTTCTTAGTTCTCCCTCTAGATCACTGCACAAACTATAATGTTATGACTTGAATGATGTTTATGGAAACAATAGCCCACTGAGAGGGAGATTATTTATTTAAAAATACAAAAGGAATATTGTCATCCTTACACTGACTGAAAATAAATGTGTTCAATAACCCCAATTCGGGTTTAAAGCTGTAGTTGTATTTGATATTGTGTATTTGAGAATGGAAGTAATGTGGACGCACGTGTAAGTATTTCCTCCATGTCCTCTTCTCAGCCTTCTTGGCTTGGTGGAAAGGGGAGCAGCTTTTCCTAATGAGGCCTCTGTGTCATGAGGCCCTCCATCGCCCTCTGATGGCTGTCACATGTACTGCAGGGACAGTTACCCAAGGAACCTCCTCCCTCTAACCTGCTCTGCCTAATGTGGTGGCAACAAGTCATCACAGCTGTTGGGCATGAGATGTGGGTCGTCCCCGGAGAGATGTGCTGTCGTTCTGAAAGACACAAAGATTTCAAAGGCAGTTTGAAAACAATGTAAAATATACCAACAGTTTTATATTTAATTCACATTGAAATATTTTTTTCTTTCATTACAAATTTTTGTTATTCTGTTACAGTTGTCCCAATTGTTCCCTCTTTGTGCTCCCCCACCCGGGTGGACTCACCCGCCACTCCCACAGTCAGTCCCCACAGGGTTGTCCGTGTCCGTGGGTCATTCATACTCGTTCTTTGACTAGTCCCTGCCCCTTCTTTCCACCATTGTCCCCTCCCCCTCCCCTCTGGTCCCTGTTAGTGTGTTCCATGTTTCCGTGCCTGTGGTTCTAGTTTCTCATTAGTTATTTTTGTTCCTTAGGTTCCTCTGATAGGTGAGATCACATGGTATTTTAATTTCACCGACTGGCTTATTTCACTTAGCATCATATTCTCCAGTTCCACCCAGGATGTCTCAAAAGGCAGGAGTTCCTTCTTTCTTTCTGCTGCACAGTATTCCATTATGTAAATGTGCCACAATGATTTGAGCCACTTGTTTACTGATGGGCACTTGGGCTGTTTCTAGCACTTGACTCTTGTAGACAGCACTGCTATGAACACTGGGGTACATAAATTCAATTAAATTGGTATTTCAGGATTCTTAGGGTATAGTTCCTGCAGTGAATTGCTGGGTCTAAAGGCAGTTCCATTTTTAGTGTTTTTCAGGAAACTCTATACCGTTTCTCACAGGGGCTGCACCAGTGTGCATTCCCACCAAAACTGCACAAGAGTTCTCTTTTCTCCACAACCTTGCAAGCACTGGTTGTTTGTTGGTTTGTTCATGATGGCCATTCTGACGGGTGTGAAGTGGTATCTGATTGTGGTTTTAATTTGCATCTCTCTGATGGCTAGTGATGCTGAGCATCTTTTCACGTATCTTGGGCCATCTGTGTGTCCTCCTTGGAGAAGTGTCTATTCAGGCCTTTTGTCCACTTTTCAGCTGGATTGTTCTCCTGCCTGGTGTGGAGTTGCATGAGTTACTTATATATCTTGGAGATCAAACCCTTGTCCGATGTATCATTGGCAAATGTGTTCTCCCATACGGTCATTTCCCTTTTCATTTTGATGATGGTTTCTTTAGCCATGCAGAAGCTTTTTAATTTGATGTAGCTTCAAACAAATGAAATCATTAGGCATAAATCAATAAACTGGTAGACAATTTTATGCTAAAACATATGATCTGTTCATGAAATTAATAAAAGATCTAAATGGACAGAGAAGCACAGTGTGTTTATGGGTTAGAAGACTCAACATAGGAAAAATGTTAATTCTCCACAAACTGACCTAAAGATGTAACAGAATGCAAGTTAAAATCCCTGCACATTTTTTGTGGATATACACATAAGGATTTTAAAACTCACATGGAAAGACAGAGGAACTGGACTATCCAAAATAAAGAATAAATTTAAGTAAACATGTTTATTTCCTATAGTCTTAAGAATAATCAAGACAGGGTGGAATTAGCAAAGAATAGACATGTTGCGCAATGGAGCAGAACGGAGAACTTAAAAATAGACCCACAACCACATACTACTTAATCAAATCTTTTTGTTGTTTTGTTGTTCAAGTACAGTGACCTCCATTTCCTCCCACCATTCCCCACACCCCAACATCTAACTGAATTAAACAAAATCTATCATGAAAACGAATTCCAACGGTTTCATCTCATCTTCTAAATGTGGACCCTGTGAAATTTACAGTCATCTCTGAGTTTCCGATGGGACAGGGCTGGCTGCACTTTGCAGTCCCAATACCACTCACTGGCTTTACAGAAAGAAGAAGGTCTCTCTGGCATTTGAAGGAAAGGCCGATCTTAGTTTTAGAGCCAAAGAGAGGCCACAGGATGGAGGCGAGGACCTGGGACTCTGGGGCTGTAGCCCTGGTTTGCTGCCGGGTCCTCCCCTTTCTGATGCAGACCTCAGACAAGGTTGCTGCCTACCTCAACTTCCCCGTCTGTGAGGAGAGGAGATGACAAGAGGGCTTCTTCATCGGGCATTTGAGACTAAACAATTCAGTAAATTTAAAGTGTCATGAATGTGCTGACATGCTTTTAAACGCAGATGAATGCTACTCCTCCTGCTCTTATTAATATCCTTAATCCTTATACTTAATGGGAAGCAAGGACAACAGAATGGCGTGCAGAGGAAATCCCAGAAACAGAGAGTCTGAGACATTGGTCATCAAGAGACTTCTTGGCTGCACCCAAGTGCACACACGTGTGCACACAGAGGCGTGTAGGCCCACACATGCCCTGCCCTATGCACTGGTCACAGAGGCACATCTGCAGGCTGTGACATGCTCCCTGGGTCTCTGGTCTCAGGGACATGACCCTGGTCCTCAACAGAGACCACACTGGATGGCCCAGCAGGACTGCCACACACACAGCTGCAGAGACTCAAGATCTGTGGTGTGAGTCATGTCACCCCACTTTCCCCACTAGAGCCGGCCCCGCACGTGACTCCCCATCCTGGGAGAGGACATGATTCTCCAGAGACTCCAGCCTGACCTGCACAGAGTTGACCTCAGTGTGTGTCCTCAGACCTGCCCACCGAGGGCAGCATGGAGGTCTGTGTGGCAGTTGAGGACCTGAAATTCCCCTGTGATTGACAGATGGTGCCTTCCTGTGGTGACGGCCACTGAGCTGTGAGTGGCAGGTGGACAGCAGTGAAACCCTCCCAGTGTGGTCCCAGGAGGGGACAGTCTGACAGGCAGGTTCCCAGGCCCATCCAGCACTGCTGCAGCTGCATCTGCATCTCAGTCCATCCCAGGGGACCTGTGTGCCCTGGTCGCAGTCACCATGGAAACTCTCACTTCTTCCTATTCTGTCCCCAACTTCCTCCTAGGCCACCGGGCTCTTGGCGCTGAACTGTCCTGCCCTCATCAGACTGAGCTTCATTCAGGTGCTGGACCCTGTGATGTTGTGGAGAAAAGTGTTTTACAAACAGTCACATGGGAGGTGTTTGGAGAGAAGGTGGGATCCCTTTCTAACCTTGGTGTTTGTTACTTTCTGCTTCATTCTGAACAGATTCTGTTGCTCTGACAGGAAGTGCTGAGTGTTTTCTCTGGTTGCACCTCATGGGCTGTCAGTCTCATCCCGTGCATTTTCAACCCCAGTATTACAGCTCTTATATCCAGGTTTCCAGTTTGGAGTTTTAGCTTCTGTGTTCCCTTGCCATATCAAATCATTTGTCCTCCCTTATGATCGGAGGAAGTAAGTTGCAGTCATCTTTTCTGTGTCGTAGTCCACAATTGTGTCATCTGGGCCATTTCAGGGCCATTCTGGAAAGGGTGTTTTTTTATTCGTAACAGCCCTGTTCTCCTGAATTTTTGCAGGAAAGTCTGACAGGGTGTCAGGCAACAGGACTGATTTCTGTTGGATCTGGAACACATGTGCATCCCCCTGTGTCGGGGACTCCCGTTTGGGTTCAGTGACTTATCTGGTCCCAGGTCCATCCTGTTTCCATGGCCCCGGAAACACCAGGTCAGGCCCGTCCTGTGAGACTGAATCCACTGCACAGCTGCCTGAGATCTGAGGTCTGGGGACCTGGGCCAGATGAGCTATGGCTTTGTGTCTGGTCCCTGTTTGGGCTGGAGGAGAGTGTGACACAGATGGGGAAGAGGTTTTTGTCTCACTTCCCCATTGTCCTGTGTCACTGTGGCATTACCACTGCTGTCCCCTGCTGCACAGTAATAGTCAGCCTCGTCCTCAGACTGGAGGTTGGAGATGGTCAAGTAGCGGTTGGCCCCAGAGCCGGAGCCTGAGAAGCGGTCGGGGATCCCATTCCCCTTGGTGTGGCTTCCACCACTGTTAACATACATCAGATACCGAGGGGCCTTCCCTGGCTGCTGCTGCTGATACCAAAAAATGTAGTAGCTGCTGTGCTCACTGCTGAGGGTGCAGGTGAGCTTGGCCGAGGCTCCCAGGGAGGCAGAAGCAGATGGGGGCTGGGTCAGCCTAAGTTCAGCGCAGAGACCTGCAGACACAAAACACAGAGATGATGCTGAATGCACCCAGAATGGACAGATGCCCATGAAAACTGTGTTTGGAGGGGACCTCTAACAGCCCAGGGATGCCCTGACCTGTGGAGAACACCAGGGGCAGGAGGAAAAAGGGAGCCCAGTCCATGGTGAGAGTGGCTTCCAGGAGCTCTGCCCTGAGGCTGTTCAGCTGGCCCTGGCCTCTGAAAGCCCCTGTTATCCTCTCTCCTTGCAGTTCAAGAGGGAGGAGCATGAATGCAAATATGTTCTGTGCTCCTCAACTTGTGTCTCAGCTCTTGTCTCAACCCTGAGCCTAACAGCCTCCTGCTGGTGATTTCCTGAGGCCAAAGAAGGTGCAGGTGTGGGTTGCATTGTTAAGAGCTGATTTGACCCAATAGAAGTGTTTTCAGAGGAGCTTCTTTATTGCCCTTTCAGCATGAAACAGCCAAAGGCATTTAACCTATAAATTTCCCCAAACCAGGACCCACAGTGCCCCCTAGTGTCAACAGGATGAATATCATCCTACATGTTTTGCTAGTGCATGGGATGGCTACTAAGAATTTTCAGGATGATGAACCTTGGTGAGAGTTTTATTCACACCTCTCACCTGACATCATAATATCTGGACATCAGAATAACCACACATTACCTGTGCGTGCTGTGGGTCTCCCGACATGGGGAGGTCCCTTCGAGTGACATCCTGGGGGATTTCACCTTCAAACCATGATCTGTGCTTGTGAGTTAAGCAAATATGTCCCAGGATGACCACTGGTGCTTTGTCAAAACAGGACAGTGGAAGATTCTGCTCCACAGCTGAGGCTGGAGACACGAACCCACAAACATGGGTCAGAGCCCCTTTGTCTGGCAGACATCACATGCTGGGTAATATGTGTGAACAAGACTCCGTCCCTGTCTCAGAGGTCCCTTTGTGTGGTGGGAGCTCAGTGAACACACCTGCGCTGGTGACACTGCAGATGCTTACACCATCTACTCGTGTCTTGTCTGCGATGCCCATTTAAAAGCCCGACGAGTGCTGTTCTCACGTCCCTCTTGGCCAGAATTGACCTTGTGGCCCAGTGCTGACCCGTAGGTGTGTCAGTCAGCTGGGCCTCCTTCCAAGGAGCCTTTGCTCCTGTGAGGAAAAAAACAGACTGGATATGCGCAGTGCCTGTCCCCTTGGCCCTGGGTGTGACAGCTGAGCCCCAGCGGCCATGCTGAGGTCCATCTGCAACAGGAAGGAGAGAAGAGCTTCCATACCAGGGCTGTGGAGCAGAAAGTGAGAAAGATCTTGGACTTGATGCAAATGGCCAGTGCCTGGAGAACAGCCATCCGACTCCTGAGCTGTTGTTCCTGGCAAAATACTCCTGTCTGTTCATGCGCCTCGAGTCATGTGTGTGTTTTGCATTAAAAACATCCTGGCAGGTGAAGAAAATAATGAGCAGAAATCAATCCAGTAATCAAGGGGAATAATTTTGGGGAAATAATTGTGCAGCTATTGTTGATGTGCAGGTAATTAGTTGAGATCAGACAGGAATTGACAGGCAGGTCCTGTGTGGGGAGAGGCTGGAGGGGTCTCTCTGGAGGGGACCCTGGAGCTGCCGTCAGGGTGAGAAGAGGGAGCAGCAGGAGGACGGGAGTGTGGGGACAGCAGGGTCAGTGCCCTGGGGGAGGGTCTGGTCTATCTGAGCAGGAAGGACAGTGAGAAACTAAGGTGGTTATGGTCCAAACCAGGTGAGCCCAATGTGACATGAATCTGTCCCATTAAGGGCTGAGTGGCAGGACTGACGTCACACTGAGCACCCACACCTGTCTCAGGAGTCAGAGCAGCTGAAAGGGGATCCAGGGGAAGGAGGAGTCACAGGACTATGACCCCTGTCCTGTGTCAGTGAGGTGAGGGAGCAGGTGACCCACAAGGACCATCACTGCACAGGGGCTCCTGCTTCCCTTCTGGTTTGCACAGGAAGTCACACGGGACCTTCTGTCCTGATTCAGAGAATTCTGACAACTCATGACTCCTGCTGCCGAAGTTACAACCTTGTGAGAAATGTCACATGGGACCTGAACTAGATGCGAGTGAGACACCTGAGTTTATCATAACAGGTTCCTCTTCCTCTCAAATCTTTGAGGTAACTCTGTCATATTTATACTTTATCATGTATTATATACCAGAACATACGTTGTTAGTGATTTTTTGCCTTAAACAAGATACATTTTATGGAATTTAGTATGACAAAATTGTTTCTCTATTTCCATGGAGAAACGGTACCTGATGCCGTTAATTTCTCTGTGTAGATCCCCATTTCTCTCTGACTCGGGCGGGTCCTCTGCTCTCTCTGGGACAGAGCGTCTGTAGGTGTCAGTTCTCTAAGTGCCTGTACATCTGAGAGAGTTTTACTTTCCTTTTTTGAAAGATACTTTCACTGGGTAAAGACTCGAAAGTGGACAGGTGTTTGTTGTTTTCTTGTTGCTTTTAGTTTTCTAGACACTCTGCCCCCCTCTCCCCCCGCCTGTGGTGTTTCCAGGGAGACCTCTGCCCTGGTCCCTCTGCTCCATCCTCTCTGTGGACGGGCCCCGTGTCTCTGAGGCTTTTGTGATTTTCTGATCGACACTGGGTTTAGGAATTTCATCGTGATGTTTACTGATGTCTCCTGTATGTTTTTTTTTATGTTTGGGTTTTGTTGAGGTTCTTGAATCTATAGGATGTCAGCCTTCATTGATATTGGTATTTTTTGGCCAATATTTCCTGAATTAATTTTTCTACCTCCCCCCAAATTTCTCTCCTTCAATGACTGTATTGTGAGGCTGTGAGACTCCCTTGTGCCCTCCCGCACACTGACGCTTCTGTGTGTTTAGTCAATGTGGTTTCATGTCTGTGTTTCGTGTCCTCTCTGTAATTTCTCCCCCATGTCATCTGTCACTATCTCTCCTCTGCAGAGATGAACCTGCTGTCAGTCACATCAGGATTATTGTGTCTCAGATGCTGTAGCGTCCGCATCTGTGTATTGAGTTGGCCATGGATTTTGTCCTCCTTGTCTGTAGTGACCATGTTCAAGCATCTCTTACACACTGGATGAAATGGAATATTAATGTTCTTAGAATCTTTGACTGACTGACTATTCAATCATCTCTGAAATTTTATGGCCAGGATGACTGGTTGGTTTTGTTGTTTATTATAGCTCGTATTTTCTTGCTTCTAATCAGGAATATTTGATAGGATACTGGACTTGGTGAATATTTCCTTGTTGGTGAACAACACTGTATTTATATATACATTTTGTCTGCTATTCTAGGTTATTGCAGATTCATTAGAGTTAATTCAAACAGTTCGATCATTGGTCATTTGTGATTACACGTTCGTCATGGGACCACAGCAGTGAGGAGTCAGGTGCTAGTTCCCACCCTCAGTCCCAGCTCCTTGACAGGTCAATCTGGTGTCCTGACTGAGACTTGTCCTCTCTCACTGCAGGACAAGTGTGACTTCTGACTGTGTGTGTGAGCTCGGCAAACAGTCTCTGGGGTCTCTGTGTGGTCGTCTTTGCCCTCGGGGGTCTCCTCACACCTGTGGTGATCTGATTCTTGAACACTGGCAGTCAGGTCCCTTGGGGCACATAGAGGTTGGAGAACCACATGCAGGAAGGTTAGGGGTGATCTTTCTGGAGTGAAGGTGAGAGGCAAGAGTGGGGACCTGCAATGTGGTGACAACTGAGGTCTCAGATGTGAGGCCCTGCAAGATCATCCTGACATTGAGCCACACTCTGAGGGGGGCGTGACTTGCCAGGTGTGTCCTCTCCACCAGGAGCACTTCCCTGTGAGGGCGCTGCTGTGAGCTGCCAGGACCCAGCAGGGGAGGGAGGGAGGGCCAGCCCTGAAGGGGGGATGCAGGTGGATCCTCTGTGTCCTCTGCAAGGGTTTGCTCTGTTCTGAGCACGGGCTGCCAGGACAGCCTGGGGTTTCCTGAGCTCGGCTAAGCTGGGCAGTTCTGGGGACAAACCCAGGAATGGTGACCAGTGAGAGGCCCAGTCCCCATGAAGCATAATCAGGGTCCGTTATCACGGGATGCATGTCCTGGGCAGTGTGTCCTTCCACTCACAGTCTCTGTCTCCAACTCACATGCAGGCCCTGGAAACATGAGGTCAGCCCGGTCTTGTGAGACTGACCACTGCTGTCCCACCCTCTGCACAACTGCCTGAGGCTAAGGAAGGGCAGCTTGAGGATCTTAGGTCTGGGGAGCTAGGCCAGACCTGCTCTTGGCTTTGTCTCCTGTCCTGTTTGGGTCCAAAGAAAGTGTGACACAGATGAGGAAGAGGGTTTTTGTCTCACTTTCCCATTGGCTTGTGTCACTGCGAGCATTACCACTGCTGTCCCATGCTGCACAGTAATAGTCAGCCTCGTCCTCAGACTGGAGGTTGGAAATGGTCCAAACAGGGATCCCGTCGCCCTTACTGTGGCTTCTGTCACTGTTAACATACATCAAATACCGAGGGGCCTTCCCTGCCTGCTGCTGATACCAGTGAATGATGTACGTGCTGTGCTCACAGCTCAGGGTGCAGGTGAGCTTGGCCGAGGCTCCCGGGGAGGCAGAAGCAGACGGGGGCTGGGTCAGCACAGGCGCAGCACAGAGACCTACAGACACAAAACACAAGGGTGATGCTGAATATACCCAGAGTGGACAAATGTCCGTTGAAACTGTTCTTGGAGGAAACGTAGACCCCTGAGTGCCCAGGGATGCTCTGACCTGTGGAGAAAACCTGGGCCAGGAGGTAGAGGGGAGCCCAGTCTATAGTGGGAGGTGCTTCCAGGAGCTCTGCCCTCAAGCTGCCCAGCTGGCCCTAGCCTCTCCAAGCCCCTGTCTTATCCTCTCTTTGTGCAGTTCAATAGGGAGGAGAATTGAATGCAAATCTGTCTTTGTTCCCCAACTTGTGTGTCTCAGCTCTTGTCTGGATCCTGAGCCTAACAGCCTCCTTCTGAATTTCTGAGGCCAGGAGAAGGTGCAGGTGTGGGTTTCATTGTTAAGAGAGACTTTACCAGATAGAAGTGTTTTCAGAGGAGCTTCTGTCATGGCCTTTGAACATGAAACGGCCAAAGACATTTAACCTATAAAGTTTCCCAAAGAAGGACCCACAGTGCCCCCTGCTGTCTACAGCATGAATATCACCCTACATGTGTAGGTAGTGTATCACGTGGCTACTTCTAAGAACTTAATGGATGGTGAACCTTGGTGAGTGTTTTATACCCACCCCTCAATTGACATG